CTCAAAACCGCAGCCTCTGTGAGTGTAGCTGTCCTAGTGCTCCACAATGGCCAACCCAGCGATTCACCATCGCTGTCACCACAGTAACCGTATCAGCCTGTGCAATCGGCACAACCTCGCAATATTTGGTAAGGTAATCTACCATAACCAAGATGAAACGATCTCTTTGCGGTATTTTGAGCAAAGGTTCCATGATGTCTGTACCCACGTTCTCGTTAGGATATGTGGCTTTCATAGGTTACAACAGAGCGCGGCTGGAGCATCGTCGGTGTTTAAAGGAACCACAGTTCTCGTATGGCTGGCAATAGTTCATTACACCTCTCCTTTGGTGTAATCCCCAGAAATGCCGTCGTACTGCAACATGCCGTTTGGTACTCTTCTCATGTCACAAGTTGTGTAAAGGTCCCCTAACACACTTTGGACTACAAACTATAGGACTGCGATTCTTCTGGTATATAGATCGGGCCGAAATCGAACACCAATACATTTTCTTTAGCAGTTAGGTTATCCCACATTGTACACAGACATAGTGCCTAATGTGGTCTTCCCACCATCTCCTTACTCGTCGGCCTGTCGCAGCCATGAAGACACCTTTCTTAAATCAGTGCAATATCTGGATCCTTCTCTTGCATCATCTGACAGGATTAGTCATGTCCACGTGTTGCGCGAAAGGCAATCAGCATAGTCACGATGGAAATGCAAGGCAGTGCGTTTGCATTCGTGTGTTACTTGCCCTGCCGGCGCCCGACTGCATGTAAAGTCATGTTCCTTCAAGTGCTCTTGCCAGCGCGCGAATTATCCTTCAGAATCCCTGAAGTTCTCCAGCCAAGCAGATAGTGCCGAATTTGCTTTATGAATAGCATTTTCGTTCTAGCAATGCAATAATTCCTCTCTTTCGAGCTGAGTCTAATGTAGGATACGAATCTTTTCGTCCTATCAGGTCTTTTTGTGACAGGATAGCTCAAATTGCCCCGTCACTCTCCTCCGTGTCCAAAAACTATGCTTCAGCAAATGCTGATAAGTCAGGGTACACTATCACGGGGACCGTACAGTGAGACCACGGAGCCCGTCAAATACTTTCCGGAATTCTGCTGACCATTCAAAATTTCGACCGTTTTTCGACAATGCAATCAAGGTAGTGGAAGTAGTGGAACGGCCCTTCGCGAATCGCCAGTTCCATGACGCTAACCCAAAAAACTACCTGACTGCTCAGTGCATGTACTGACTGGCCACAGATTCACTTGCTCCGTCTTGTGGTAGTATCTTTAGACGCTCGACTCCGATATGATGTAACGCCGATAAACCACTTCTTCCCGTTGCAGGTGACACTTTGATGGTCTGTATTTGAGACTTGCGTCAACCAGATGGTTCAGTACAGCGGCCAGATTGTTTTAGTGCCGTTTCTTTGTTTTCAATTCTCCAGAACATCATCCGAGTAAACGATGCACTTCCTTGGAATCAGTACAAGCAATGCACTTTCTATCCGGCGCCGAAATATTGCAGCGGCGTTTGTTAACCCAAACGGCGTAAGTTGGAGTTCGTACAGACCAGCTGACACGCCGAAGGTAGTCTTCGTAGGATTGCTCACTGCAACCTCCACTTGCCAGTAAGCAGGAGCAAACTTAAGTGTGCTGAAACTGGTTGGTCGACCAACTGCATCGAACAAATTGTCGATTCTGGGGAGAGGGAGATCGTCCCGCCGAGTCGCCTGATTAATCCGTCCGCAGTCCACCCAGAACCTAAGAATAGCATCCTTCTTCTTTTTCCGAACCATTAGTGTGGCCCACGGAGAGATGGAGGATTAAACGATAGTCTTTTCAAGCATCTGGTCGATTATCTTCTGCATCTCACACTGCCAGTGAGTTGGAATATGGATCAATAAACGCCTCACGCGTTTAGTATCGCCGGTATTGATGGAATATTTCACGACATCGGTTAGCTCAATATTTCCCGTTCCCCATAAGAAAGCGTCTGAGTGCTTCTGCAAAATGTTTCTCAAACACATTAAAAAAGATTCATCATTAGCCAACTTTAGTGCGTGCACCTACTTGTCAATCCACGAGTCTGCTATTGTAGCTTCACAAACCGTGTGCATATCAGTAACGGCAGTAACGTCTAAGTCAGTGGATAGCGTGCGGCGCTATATCACAACTAGTAACTTATTTACGATGGTCGTTGCCGTCCCCCGTAGCTCAGTGTTCTCAACCACCGAGTGGCAACAGTCGAGTTGTGGGTTCGAGCCCTACCAGGGTCCGCTGGAATGCGTACCGCTGACGATTCCCAAAAGGATGAGACGCGCGCACAATGCTTTTCTGGGCGTGTGACGGCTGTCTGAGTGAGCCTAGATGTGATGAATTTCCACCTATAACATTCAGCTCCCCCTGATACTCTTCTGAAATCCCTACAAGTTGAGTGCGACTGTAGGACTCGGTGAGTAGCCGTTAGTTTGCCAAATCTATCAAGTACATTCATCCAGATAATGATGGTAAAAGGGGTGTGATCGGCTACAATCAACTGATGCTGCTATTTCGATTAGCGACAAACACTATTGTCATGTTAGAATCGCGTGTGACTAGCTTCTCCCTGCTGACGACCGTCAAACTACTCACATGGTTTTAGTCGTGTATCCCGTTAGTAACTTAAGCACACTATTCTTTAACAGGCTGTTGCGCGCCACCGTGTCAACTAACACGACAATTGGAATCCTGGAGTTCTCAACCTACATAGTAAGTGAGTTGTCATGAGCTTGTCAGTTACCGATGATATAATAAAAGTAACCTCAAGCGGAGGCTCACCTGATAATCGAAAAGGTTCGGTTTAGGTTGCTAGCTGCAGACACTTCCTGGATACGGTTCTCCCTGTACGGACTCGCCTGCTGGTTGAAAACCAACTGCTTTGAGTGGCCGGTTATGGGTATTGTTCCGCTGTAGTTCGCCTTTCCCCCTAAGTCTCACATAACATGAGCTCCACTTCTGAATTCAATCGAAGCTCTGTATCTGCTAACAAGATACTTGTCATTACGTACTGAAGATGCCATGTCGATTGAGGGGAAAACGTCTGCCATAGCATTTCTCAGTTTGGAGAGCCAATCAAGACTACAACCGCCCACACGAACTATCGTTGCAATTTGAGCTACGTTGACATCGTCGACTTGGTTCAGGGTAGGATGCAAACCAACCGGAAACATCGTATTTATTTATGGTCTAACCGTTAAATACGGTGTTTGTGGTGAAGATGCTACGCAGTATCTCGTTAACACCTTCCAAATTTTCACCCTGCTCCACCACCGGATCCGGTCAACATGAACTACTTCATCACAGACCGCGTTTGAACTCCGTCCAGCAGTTGTTCCAATATGCGTTTTCCATGTTCATCTTCGGTTGTATTCTCTTAGGCTCAGTTTTCTAGGCGCAGCGGCTCGCGGATGAAGGTTCTGATATTTTATCCCCAATGTTGATATCGTGCGTGCAACTACCGGCGTAGTTCTGATAGCGGCTCTGATCGGTCCAGTAAGTAGCGCAAGGAGCTAAAGGCATTAAACATCAATTTCTGATCCAACACGCTGCTATCCGCAGCGCGATTAATGGCTTCGTCCGCGAGTAAACCCAGGAGAACTCTACCACGTTGCGATGATGGAAAGTGCAGCAGGGAAAGTTGGGCTTGTTTTCCCAATTGCAGTACGGCTTGCCGATGGAGAATGTTTCTGGTCCACGCACCGTGGGGAACACAATGAGACAAAACAGCTTTCAATGCTAACTTTTCCGGGACACTCTACACTGTATTCACAGTCGATGTTGACTTCTCGTTGTCATATTCGTAATCGCACGCAAACGTTGCCTTTGATTCTTTTCTCCTTTTTGGCATCTTCAATCCTGACAGATCGCCACTATGTAGCATATAATGCAAAAAGAAATCTAAGGGCGGAGCAGAAACTTATATTAAGCAACACGCAGCAAAGTTAACGGCCTTTTCTCCGGTATTGCCTTACTTCTGCTAAAGCGCAGGCTTGTGGCTCTGAAAGGTAGGCGGGAGGCACCGTTCTAATATGCTTATGTTTCAATTGTTGCTTACAATAGTAATTGCAGTCGGCCAAATGTTGTCTGCAGATTAACCAACAAACGGCATACAAGCAAAGTCGTCAGCCAGAACAGATGGCCAAAGTTTGACAGCGAAATACAGAAGAAACCTGTCGTCCGAGTAATGCACGATATACCATCTCAGTTAGATCATACATAACTAAAACTGTGCCGAGCTTTCGTTACAGTATTCCACATGATCACAGATCTCATCTGGCGAAGTGGGATTAGTTACATCTTGGTACTAAACTGCATAACTTATTAAAGCACATGTAATGCATTGCTGGCTGATTTGTTTTATAGTCCCTATACTGCATCGTCATCACCCTGAACTGTGCCTCCGATTTCTTTCCTCTAATGCATTTTTACATTGTTGGTTTCTGAGAACAAAATAAAACTTTTGAAACATGCGCAATGCCTCTCCTTTACAATAAGTTGATAGCGGCATACTGGAGGATAGATTCCCCACTATAAGTCATATTGTGTTCAGCTAACTACTAAATGTAGTTGGTAGGGTAGCCAGAAGTGCTTTTACTGCTGGCTGTTAGATGTACACAAGCACAAACACCAGCATTCTTTGAGGGATCAGTGCAACATTGCACCCTTTTTCAATGTGAGCGCATTCTTAGGCGAATTACTGTAGGCTGGCTATTCACAAACAACAAGACGTACACAGATGCCTGTGTGGTTTTCACAAACTCCATGTGCATGACAAACAGATATGTATTGTTTAAGCTTTGTATAAATTTTTGATGTAATCAAATTAACCATATTAATGATAGTTTACCAATTAATGTCTGACGGCAGTTTCTTAAGCTTCATCGTAAAGCATACTTACACTTTGTAATTCCTTTTTAGCTAACTCAGTTATAAGGAGCACTGAATTTCTTCTAGTTCAGTTTAGAATACCTATTGGCCTCCACAATGCCAGTGACTGTGGATCTTGCGATTGAAAGTTTGCCACCGGAGGTCCAAGCCAAAGCTGAGCGCGAACTAAATGAGGTGCTCCAGTTCAGACAAGATGCCATAGATGCACTCAAAAACCTTATACGTCAAGAAGGTATGTTTGCGTTTTTTCTACTTACACGATTTTCAGCTCAAGTGTTGAGTTGAAGTGCGGATTATGTTTAGACCAAACACAATTGGCACGTGGTTTCTTGCTTTAATCGTTAAATGGACTGGCTACCATTGCCAGAACGTAAGACTTGCAGAATGGCGAACATGCTTGCCTATTCACTTGATTAGGATCCCACTTACAAGTGCCTAAATTTGGCAGCGTCACACACAACACGACTGACAGATACTTGTACGCAGGAATATACGAATGAATTTTGCCAGGGGACCGAGTGAGCTATGAAAGAATACCAGTGAATAGCCTCGGAAAGTGGTGCTAAGAAATTGAAATATCGTGTACTGTTATATTGAAATTTGTGACATTTTTGCTTATTTGTTTCATATCTCTACCGCGACCGCTTTTTCCAGGCATTAGGACAGCGGAACAACAGTAGGTCTTGACAGGGCTTGCAGTCTTCACACTGTGAGCATATTAACTCGAAAAGATCGCATGTAAGGCAAGTATAGGCAGAATTTTTCCGATTTTTAGGTTAATTCAGCAGCTTAACAGAGCACAATGGTTCGCAACACTACGGCATTACAACGTTTCTTAAGGAATCGATTTAGACACTGAAAATGTGCATTCTCCAAAGCCGGAATTTTCTATAACCTGTAGCTCGATTTGTCTGTATTAGGGCAATCTTTTCCTATAAGTGCAAACTTCGTATGAGCGACATGCGGCTAAAAGCACTAAGTGAGCAGCAGCGTTAAACGCTGAGTATTAGTTAGTGTGCATCTTCATCGCTCTTTAGAGCCACACACTTGAAATCATTTTGTGTCTCTATCGAAACTTAGCATTTAGCCTACACAATGTTGCATACGGATTAATGCTGAAAACTTATACTTGTGTTAATAGCGTCTTATGCTCTCAATTCACAAGGATGCTAGAGAATTTAGGCAGTCATTCTGCGACGTTAACCGCTGAACATTTGCGATCCCCTGTTCATAACCCTGCGTATGTAGAGTGCTATCTTACCATGCATACTATGCTAATTTGTTGCCAGTTGTTGAAGGTTAAGTGCTTTCTGTAGTTAAGAGTCACTCAAATGGTTGTCAGCAATTCAGATGCACAGTTCATCTTAATACTTTGTTACATCTGCATAAGGCTATTGGTCATGTACGGGTGGAATACTTGTTGACCAACTGAACGGTGCTGCGCACACACTGTAGTCTGAAGATTGTCTGACGCTTTCCTAAATTCGTAGCTACTATTATGATATCGATTATCACCAGCTTCGCGTGCACACAGCATCAGTGATGCCAGGACCCTCCAAACCTTAAGCATTAATTGTAATCTGTTAAACCACTGTAAGTTTTGGTGAGCTAAATTTATTTTTTCCAGACTCTCGATTAGGGTGCATGGGATCACAGAGTATAACTGTGCAGCCTAATCTGTAAGAATCACAGATACGTATTCTGTTATGAAAGATCTGCGCAACAGAGCTCAACAAATTGAAATCAGCTAGCGCAAGAGTGCAACACATTCCATTACCAGTGAGATCGCGAACGCAACAAATAAAACATTGACTGCTGTGCTGATAAAGCAGTCGGCTGTACAGAGTAGTTGAAGCTAAGCAATTTGGTTAAAATAATTAAGACATTACGGAGAAAAGCGTTCAACTAGAAACGCTGGAATGTGGTTGACACATGACACCAAATCCGCAGACATCGAAGTATTCGCTAACTACCCACGCTTGGTTTCGCAATGTTTTGGATGGAGTTCAACATATAACCGAGCAGCGTTTGGTCACAGACGTACGCCTAATTAGAAGTTGCACTGATGTTATTAATTACCCTCGTAACGAAACATCTGCAAGCAAAACACCAGGCGCGGCCAGCAACCAAACTTTCTGACCCCCATCCTGAGTTAAAAGCGTTCTCACTGACAGCCACAGATCCTACGTACTTTGAGCAGAAAGGAAATTTACCCAAAGCTAATTCTATGGGATTTTGGACAGTGAAACAGGAGATTTGAACATAAAACGCGTGCATACATGTACAATAAGGATATAGTAAATTAATGCAACAATAATAGATGCCATTTGAGATTAATTCCACAAAAAGCAGAACCCATTCTCAAAGTAATGTCTTTGCACGCCATGGGACAGTTACAATAGATTGTTTGTAAAAAGCTACCTGAGTCCGTGCTTGATTTATCCACATATTAAAACAGTGTACTTTTCATCGGCATTAACCGAAGTCATCCTAGTTTCCGAATGTGACGATACGGCTGTTTTCAAGTTGCCCGCTGTTGCTGTTCTTTTTTTGGCTTCCGTTTCACTCAATCCCCTGTTTGGCGCCTCTTTTGTATGCTCATATAGCAGGCGATAACACCATCGAATAGGTCAACATGACATCAGCCGCATATCATAGCAAGACTCAGAAGCGTCAGATATGCTTTAGGGTAAAAGTGATGATAATCCCTAAGATTGGGTTGATGGATTACTGAGTTTGAGTTTTGGCTTAGTTGGTAAATACCGCAGTGGTTTACTTATTTTTGGTTTCTACCACCACATTTAAACAAGTTTATGATTTGCGAACTAGAAATGCAGTTTGGGTTTGCGTAGTGGTATCCAAACTGTGCGCAAGAATGGCCATATTTTGTGAGGCAAAGATAAGCTGGGCTTTATTCAGTCCGACATAAAGATACTAACCGAAAACCAAGTAAGTTATAGAGCTTTTATTTTACGTTTTCAATATGAAGGGTGAAATTGTGGTTTTGACTGTAGTAGAGAGGTAAGGTCATGCTCAATAACATTGGTTTTAATGCACAAGATAACGCGTAGGTGAAAATCACTTAGCCTTCTCCTCACATGATTCTTGTTAAAATTTAAAATTGCGAATGTGTGCTTGCACAAGCATCTGCTTAGCAAATGTTCGAATCTCTTGGACTCTGTCTTTATCCAGCTGTCAAGAAAAAGCAATACTAGTGAGCTGTTGGTGCTAGATTTGACATTCAATCTCACTTTGCTACTCAATGAGTTCCAGTTGAAGGTGGCTTGCAATATTGTCAAGGCCTACAGAGCAACACGAAAAAGTGCCTGATCTCCTTTTAATAGTTGCTAAGTCCTGAAAATCCTCAGCCGGGAATAAAATATCTACAATCTACTTCTGCGTTTGTACATTGATGTTGCTTTCTGTAGGAATTGTCATGAGTTCTTGTAGTGATGGAAAATGTGTTTTATTAGGGTTGCGCTTGAAACAGTTTTCTTTGAAAAAGTTACAACTTAATCTAAAAGGTATTGTTGTGGGAATAAAATTGGCTTACCCCTGCATTTTGATCCTGTAGTCTCGTGTTTAACATGTTCAGGAGCGCGCAATTTCAACCAAAATTTTAAGATCAACCGCCCAGGCAGGAGCAGACAGTTCTGGCATCGATTTTACCCTATTTTCCTTGCATTGTCCTATATTTTTATGAGATTACAAACAATTAACTGCAATCCCTCGACGGAACCATCTTAAATAATTATTATACACAAGCTTTTCGTACTCACTCTGGATGTTGAGCAGAAACTAGTGGAAGTGACGATAAAACAGGCCTTTTGAGCGAAGGTACTTGTTCGCTTTTATCACTGACTTCATAACAGGAGCACACCTAAGATGTTTGACACAAATAACTTGTTGGTGAATAATTCAGTGATCTTTCTTGGCTTTGCCCCCTCTCCGCTAAGTTTATTTTACAGACAACTGTTGCTAATTCACTGTGCTCGCCAGTCATGATTTATACACCGTCAGTGATAATTCTAGAGATTTTTTGCATGATCGTTTAATGTCATTGATTACGAAAGAAACAGAAGCAAAAAAAACTCCTCTTGTTTTGTTCTCAAGACTCTTCAGCTCAAGTAATTCCTCGCTCACATACATATCATCCTCAACTCCTTTCAACAAAATGAGAAGCTGGGCAGTATCAGATGCACCAATGCTTTCGGCATTGGGTATCGAGTATTTCAAATGTTGCTCCGTTTGGTTCTAATTGCCTCTTAATATCAGAGGAGCTGTCTTCAGTTCTGCAAACCACAGTGTTGCATGCCAGACAAACACTTGCAAACGCTTGCTTTTTATCAGGACAGATATTTTCCACTATATTAATCTTACATTCTTTAACAAATTCACATACAGTAAATGCTTTGCAGTGTTTCGCTATTAGTTTTGCCACCTCATAACTTACTGTTGTCGCGTTTTCATTTGACTGACCGATTACTACTAACAAGCTTTTCTGTGAAGTTATTCCAGTATCCAATTGCTTCCGTGTCTGAACGCGTTCATTTACTGTCAACTCGTCATAGCATGCTTTGTTTGATATTGCTTCTTGATATTGAATTCCTTGAAAGCAGCCACCCCCTGTTGTCTACAATAAGTCAAACGCACGAGCCGAAGTATGGAAGTCACTCCGGTAAACAAACTACTGTACTCAGAGAAATGTAACTACGTGAGTACATTAAAGTGTCGCAAGGAGAAGAATGAATCAATAGGGATGCAGAGGAATATACATTTAATTGTATATGTCTGGGGTTGTGTGCACGTGTCTGTCTAGACTAGCCATCATGCACGCTGAACTAATACACGTCATCACCTCTCCGCTTAGTCATGTAATACGTTGAAACCATATCAATTCAGTGGTCTTGACACTCGGCCTGTCCTGCGGAGCTGCGTGCTTTGCGTACTTCCGTCAGTGAAGGTTGGTGGCACATGCTCCGTACTTCTGCTACTTGTGAATAACCTCCGTGCTTTGTACGTCCATCTACCAGCCGGTAAGTGCCTGGCGCGCTTGTGCGCGTTGTTCTTGTCAGATTCAATAACTTGGGTTGTTCTTTTGATGCAGCGTTTATCTCCACGCGCACAAATGGTCTGAGCTGGAGCGGAGTAGTAAGCTTCCTGTATGTGGTCTGATATCGATGGCGGCGATCTAACTTGTCGGAATGATTAGTCTCAGGAATCGGAAGTGCGTCGTTCAACTTGGCCCAAAGGGCGCGCCCAAGCATGAGCTCAGTTGGCGTTTAGTCTGTGACTCAGTGGTGTGCGGTTCCGTAAGAACATACTGCTTGTAGTACTACGTCATTCCAGTCTGGAACAGATAAGCTAATAGTTTGAATACTCTCTTTTAAGGAGCTATTGAAAAACTTGACCATGCCGTTTTCCGCTACGTTATAAGGAGTTGTGCGTGAGTGTCGGATGGTGTGAATTAGAGGAAAGAAAGAAACTCGTGGCTTGTAAACTGCGGGCCGTTGTCTGTCACTATCTCTTCTGTTAGTCCGAAACGGGAGGACATGTATTTCAGCCATCGCAAAATGCTGGCAGTAGTCACCTCTCCACACAAATAGACTTCCGGCTATTTACTGTAAAGGTATGTCGCCAGCAAACAGTTCCTCTGATGCTGAGGCGCTGAGCTAAATGAATCCATAATGTCAAGAGCTATTTTGACCCACGGTCACATAGAATAGTCAATGAGTTGTATAGGGGAGGAAACCAGCCTTGAACTATTGTCCGCGCTTTGCCATGCGGAACAGACTTGAAGAAGTTTTTCTATTTCGTGTGACATTCTGAGTCGACAGATGTCTGTGTCAACTTTACGTTTCGTACAAAGGATACCAGGGCGGCTTTTATGAGCACATAGCGTGGCTTTTTGCATCAAGCTCCGAGGAACCGCAAATTTTTTCGCCGCTCATTTAACAACCATCTATAAAGCAAAGTTCATGAGGCAACACGTAGTCCGGACGAAACTTGTTTGTGATCATGTTATTTTGTGGCTAGCCGTTTAGCAGAAACCCCTGAAAGCAGTGGAGTGTGCCGTCTCCTTGAGTCGTCTTCTGGGGTATTTCCCTAGTCAGAGCTGAGATTAGTCCACTAGTCAGGGAATACACAAGTAACCCCTCAGTATCATCCTCATTATTTTCATTTTCGTTGAGTGGCAGTCGAGAGAGTCCATCCGCTGCATGGTTTTCACGTCCGGGACGGAGTTGAATTTGTATATCGTATGTTAACAAGCCTGCATACCAGTGATGTCTCCGAAGTGCCCTGACGATATTTGTTCCCCGGGTAAGTAAGCTAGTTAGCGCTGTGTGGTTTGTGCGAAGAGTGAAGGGCTTCCGAACAAGAATAAATTCAAAGTTGGACTTAGAGGATCCGCTGGTGGGTGGGTTGATACAAGCAACCTCTATTGAGACCTCGGTTCACTTGTGGTGCACCTCGGTCATTCCGATCACAAAGACCGTAAGTAAAATGGAAACATTATAGTGTTGCTCACCCCAACACTATAATGTTTCCAAGAACAAATTCACCTTCCCACAGGTCCAAAGGCAGACAAGAGCTTTGTTTACACCGGCAGAGTAAGAAAGTTCTGCCACCGACAAGTTTCTAGAAGCGGATACAATAATTCTTTCACGCCCATTCTGAATTTGGGCTAGTATAACAACCAACCCAAGCTTGAGTGCATCAGCAGAGACAATCCTTGGGCACGTCTTGTCAGAAATCGCCATGACTGGTGTGGACGCAATGCTGCGTTTTATCTCTGCAAATGCGTTTTGTTGAGGGTGACCCCAAACAAGTACACTTTTTTCGTTCGTCAGTTCATGTAGTGGCTCAGCAATATTCCTGAAATCCTGCAGGTAACGTAGGCTGTATGCACACGTACATAGAAAATGCTTTATTTCGGTAGAGTTCTGTGGACGAGAAGCCTCGGTGATGGCACGCGCATTATCGAAACTCGGCTTCATTCCGTCAGTTGCTATAATGTGGCCCAAGAACTCGATTTCACTAGCATTAAATCTGTACTTCTCCAGATTAAACCGGAGGTTAAGATCATGTGGTCAACGTAATACAGCAAGCAGTCGTGAATCATGTTATTCTGGAGTTCTACCGAATACACAGATGTCTATTTGGCCAGATAAATTGACAAATAAGTGAATCGTAAACTTTTGCCAAGCTGCTGAGGCTGAACAATCCTATTGGCAAGATGCTACTGAAAGAGTCCGTCCATGCTAAGATATACGGTCAGCGGTCTTGACACCTTAGTTAGGGGCATGTGAAAGAAATCCTTTCTAAGGTCCAATTTTGGAAAAATCGGGTACCGCCTAACTTGACTATTAGTTCATCCGCGGTTGGAAGCGCAAAATTTTCTACCACGATTTGACGATTTAGGGCCGGCAGGTCATTGCATATTCTCGCTGTACCGTCCTTGAGGACTGTAGCCATGGGGTGGACACACTCAGAACAGTTAATTTGCTCAATGATATCAGCTACAGTCATTTATCTTAATGCTGAGGAAACAACCTCTATTCTGTCCAATGGTACTGGACGTGGCTGAACAATAGCTACCGGCTTATCTTCCTGCTTCAGGCAAATGCGGTGAACGGAGGAGGAAGCGCGCCCTATCATTTATTCAAACAGTTTCGGGTACTGTATCTGTAGGTCTGATGGGTTAACCGCCATGATACGCATAGGAAATAGGTACGGCGTGACTCCCAGTGCAACCACGGCGTTGCGCCCAAGTAGGTGACGGTTATTTCCGCGGTTGACGTAACGCGGGTGATGCACTTGATGATTCCACGGCCCGACGTTGCAAAACAATCACCCCAAATCCTTGTAATTCTACCGTGGCTTTTGTATAACTGGTTAATCGGTAGGCTGTAGGATGTATAGGCATGTAAGATAGGTGACTGCCACAAAAGCCGCTCGGTACCGTAGTGGTAGGAGCGGCTGAATCAAGTTCCATGTCAACATGTGTTGTTCTCTCGCGTACAATAACTGTAACAGTGCGAATGTCCGGCATAAGGAGTTTAGGCTCTGGACAAGTGGAATGATAGCTAGACACAGTACCTCAGTTATCAATATAAAATACATTTTCAGCTGACTGTAAGTTTTGCCTAGAAACGGAATCTGTAAACAGCGTTGTAGCAACTAATTTAGCCGCTTGGGGCAGTGACAAACTTTTCCCTCTGAGTGTGGGCAGACTATGTGCCTGAAGGCCACACAACCGGCTTACGTTAAAGTGTACATATTTTTCGATACAATGGATGATCATTTGGGACACTGAAGTAAGCGTGGTGGAAGTGACCACAATGGGAAGAGTAAAGCGATCGCCAGGATGAACGTTCGCACAGGTGGGACACATGGCGCAAACGTGTTGTTGATCATACAAACTAACATTAAAACAATCTAACCGCAGCTTATCCGGATATTTTGCCCTTTATATTTGGTATAGAAAAATCGACGGTGGTAAAAATGCCAACCCCTGTCGCATGCCTCCCGGGGCGGACCGCCGCCCCGTTTTCTTCGCCTCTGTCTGTAGGATGCAACTGAGAAATGCATGCTGAACGACGACAATGGGCAAAATGTCTACGCTTACCGCACTTTTTGCAATCCATTTCTAAGGCAGGGCACTTGGCAAAATTAGCTGTATGCTGTAGGCTACCGTAGCGAAAGCATTTCTGTGGGGATTGGAATTCGGTTGGCGAGTGATGGATCTTGGCAACCTCCTGTATGTCCGCTTTGGTAGCGAAACATCGCAACTGTTCGGTCGTACATGTTTTGAGGCGAACTAATTCCACAGCCTCCTCCCAAGTCAATTTGGAAACGCCTTCGGAAAATTGGCATTGCTGAATTCGGTTACTTGTGATTCCGCTAATCAACCGTTGCACTAGTAAGACACCCTCGATTCTATTTTTCCGTATGGTTAGTAATTCGGAAAGTCGTACATCACAAATGAGGCAATCAACAAAACTCTCTAGAGTTTCGGATGTTTGCTGTGTAACTCGGCCGAATTTGAGGCGATTCATGAAGAGGGTTGTACGCTGGCCCCATGACCTTTGCAGCACATGTAGTGCTACGTTAAGGTATCTTGAGAATGGAGCTCTAAAGCATCAAATTGATGTTGGCCCTCATCACCAAGTAGGTG